TAAAAGTTCAAAGGTAAACTGTTGAATGTAGATGCCATTGTTAATTTCGTGCAAATAGTAAAGAAGGCAACATGCTTGATGACTCTAACACAGTACAGTTCCAATAACAGTCTCACACATGAATTTAAATGAGCTTCGTTCGAAAAAAGAAATAATTTGGATAAACTCATTAACATACCGACCAAGGCTGAAGAAAGATCTATGATCCAAATTTCGTTTAGGAACTTCAGGACAGGCACAATCCGGAATCCGCGCCAAAATTCACAGCTGATCCAAGATCCAGTGTGTTTTCAAAATCCGCGAATCCGCTCGATTTACCACAAAAATCCACGATCCGTGTGTTTTTTAAGGCCAAATCCGTCGATCCGAAAACCTATTCACCCCCCTCACTAATGAAAACGATTACAGATTTTTCCTGTCATGTCATGTTAAGCTATAGAGTCATGCTTATGTCGCGCTTGTCTCACTAGCAATTCATTTACTTCAATTTCTTCTCATGGTTCCTACATTACACAATGGGCTGCAGACATCTTTCATCACGACAAACAATCAGCTGCACTATTGTCTCTTTCTTTTTTCGATATCGCGAGATTAAGTGTCTTTACACAGCTGTAACTCTCCAACTATAAAATACTCATGATCTCAAAGCTTATCATTTATATTTAATATCCTGAGGTGTTATCATTTGATTGTTTTGAAAGGACTGATATTATATGAATTGTAAATGAAAGAACGTTCAACATCCCATTTCAGAGCCGGAATTTAGTTAAAATGCCGTAGTCTACTTAATCTTCTTTCAGGTGCTCTCGTAGAAAACCTCCACCTCATCTGGTTGAAATTTATAACTACCCGCCAGGAATGATCGAGTGAATGAGGTACCGGAGCTGTGACCAGCAGGTGGACTGTAGCCGTATCCAAAATTTGTGTATGAATTTGTGTTCGACGAGGCGTGTGTGGCAATGTAAATATCGTGTCCACTTCCAAATGTAGGTCCATAACCAGAGTGATCGTAAATAGCATCTTGGTAAGAACCATATTTTCCTGGTGGCCTGAATGTTACTGGTCCCCAGCCTGGCTTGTTCACCAGCGAGAAAACGAAAGCT